AGAAGAAGAAGAAGAAGAAGAAGAAGAAGAAGAAGAAGAAGAAGAAGCCATCTTTAATGAATCTCAAAATTTAATTAAGAAAGAAAGGAGAAAGAGAGGAAGGAAAATGAAGGACTTAAGACTTAAAAAAACACCCAAGAAAGAGAAAAATAAGATGCAAAATCAATATAATGTTAGAAAACAAAAGAAAAAAGGAATACAACAGAGAAGGGAAGCTAACAAGGCAGAGGCTAGGAGGGGGAGGGTAAGAAGGCCTGGTGGGAGAAGAAAGGAAGGGAGAAGGCAGAAAAAAGCCACAAATCTTTGAAACAAGATGGGAAAAGAGGAATTTTTTTTAGGGACAAAGGGTAATATAAAATTTCTTTAAAAAAAGATTCTGCAAGGTACATAAGATGGTACTGTAGCATTTATATTAGAAATAGAAAATTAGAATGTTATAAGAATTAATAAGAGATTAAAATATTGAAATGTTTAGTAATGATTGATTTTAAAACCTAATAAAATATTAAAGGGAATGTTTAGAATATTGAGTTTAATTAAAGAGTCTAATTGACTATGGTGTTGATGCTATTATAAACTTATTATTGTAGCATTTGTTTTTGGAAAAGATAATTGGAATGTTATAAGATTCAATATTTAGATTTATTATTTAACTATGTATTTAATCATTTTGGATTTATTATTTTTCTTTTTAAAAGTTAGTAGATAGAATGTACCAAGCAGAATCAGATTGGGTATTAGGTGTTATATTAAATGTTAATTTAGGGTAATGATAGAAAGGCATCATACTCTGATTAGTGATTTCAGGAGAAATTCTTTTTCCTTTTTACTATAGGGAATGAGACAAATGGATAATAAAGAATGGACAAAAGATACAAATATAATGACTTATATTAAAATGAATTAAATAAGATAGAATCAAGAAGAGTGAAATGTGTGGAGAAATTAATATAGAAGATATAGAATGGTAAATAAAATAGGTAATAGCATGTAAGATGAGCATGAACTTAATTAAAGTCCATATAGAGAGAGGTATCTGGGGCCAAGTTACTTTCCTAAAAGATGTCTTATATTTTTGTGTTTTGTGTGTTTATGTATGTGGGAGAATTAATAAAACCTTGCAGGAATGTAGGATGAGAATAAGGGTAATCAAGTCAGAGAGAAAGAGATGATAATTATAAACTGGATAAATATAGAGAAAAATAATAATAATAATGAAATTGAATAAGAGTAAAGAGAAATACCTTGAAATTTGATAAGAGATATTTGTATGTTCATATGGAAATGGTCTAAAATAGAATTATGTTGTATTAAATAATGTTTTATTTGACTTGTAAAATTTATAATGGAAAAAGGTTTGTGTATTTAATGGTTAATGATGGTTTGTTTGTCTTTAAAATTAATAAAATGTGTTTAAAAAAAAAAAAGAAAGAAACCTGGCCAGAAAAACTCAAGAGGAGCCGTTGGGGATGTTTATCTTTCAGGAGAGAAGAATGTGTGAAGACTTGATAGTTATTCAATAACTGAAAAGTTCTTATGTAGAAAATGGGACAGAAGTACTCAGAGTACAGAATAGGGTGGATTTAAATTATAAAGAAGTAAATTTTGGCTAGATAGCAGGAAAAATAAATGCTAAACAGTTAAATTGTTTGGCAACAGAACAGACTGCTTTGGGAGGTGGTGATATCTTTCCTCAGGGCATTTAAATGGTGGGTGACTAGGTAGCTTTCTGCTAGGAATGCCCTGGCAATGGATTTTTGGTATTGATTAGGCACTTGAGCTAGATGATCTCCAAGGTAAATTCCAACTCTTCCAGTCTATGATTCCATAAAATTATTTGTTAAATATGTCGCCCATCCCACCAAAGGTGATTCTAAGCAGTATATAACCATTCAATAAAACTATGGTGTAAAACATTAAAGCAATACATAGAAATCTTAAATTCAAAATTCAATTAAAATTAAATTGACCAAGGTGGATAGGAAGGGAGGAGGTGGGGTGACTGGGGTGTTATCTACCCCATTAGCCATCTCCAAAATGCCACATCCCCATTGGAGCTCCAGGTCATTTGGCACAGCCAGGTCTTCATGCCCTTTCAGAAGGCCAAAAGGGTGGGTGCGGATGTCGCCTCAGGGACCATGATGTTCCAGAGGGCAAAATCCATAGCAGGACAGGTTCTTCTTCTGGACCTCTCACCAGCTGAAGTTGACTGATGGGTTCCACAGCATGCCCCTTCTGCCAGCACAAGTAGGGCAGGCTAGTCCCATTGGAGTGAGACAGTTATAAAATGGGCAATGGGGAGAAACAGAGCACGTGGCAGAAAAACATTCTGCAATATGAGAGAGGCTGCAAGCAAAGGATGGCTTTCGCATCTCAACTTCACACAAAAAGTCATGTTTATCTTACTGAGTACAGTACAATAGTTTGGTTTATCTTCTGGGGCTTGTCCCCTGCTTAAATTGTTTCCCATTGAACTCAAGAAGTGCTTTATGGAATAAGGTTACATTTAATAGCAAAATGTTCCCTTGATTTTGGGAGAAGTATTTTCTTTTTCTAGTTTTTGTTCTCGTACTAGACAAACTAAACATCTCTACTACTGGCAATACACAATCACTGTTTCTATAACCCAGTCTTTGGCTTTTGCCCCTCCAAATAGTTGAAAAGAACCATGAGCTACTTTTTACTTTACAAAAGACTTACTAGAATATCACAAATCATTTTGGCTCTTTGGCTAACCTACTGCTAAATTTCTTATACAATATACATCTCATAGCTTAACAACCCAGGGTTGTTGTTTTTTTGCAGTGTGTAAAGCTACGTTCAATTTGTTTCTGTAACAGCAGAATGCATCCCTTACCTTGTTCCAGCACACCCAAAACAGTAACAGTGGACAGCAGAGCTATATTGTGCAACATCTTAAATCTTCAAAAGGCACCAGGAAAGTAAACCAGCTCAAAGTTAGACACTCCTTGATACTTCTCTGCTTTTAGTCATAATTGTGCAGTGCTTTCAGTATAATTAGACAATGGACGCCTTCATTTCCTCTTTTAAAGGGCTGGTTAGTTAACTCCTTGCTCGCTGGTGCTGTAAATGGATCCCAACAAGTACATCAACTATGTTTTTCTTTGGAGAAAAGATAAGCTTTGTGGTCTTATAAAAGCAAATGTTTCTTGCAACTGGGCCTTTCATGTCTGGGAAAAGTGATCATCTGAACATTTTATAACATTGCTTATAAGTAGCCTTTTTATGGAGCAGATTACAAAAACTGGTCCATTTCTATGCTATCTTTTGGAACATAGTTGCTCAACCAATCACACAAAGGAAGTTGAGGAATCAGGCAAAGGGGATGATAAGGAACACTCTTCCCCCACATTAACCTTGTTATTCTTCCTGGCTAAAGCAATGCAAATTCCATTCAAAGTAGTCTGTGGGTTTGGCGTGGCAGGGGTGGAATGAAAAGACAGAATATACACATTTGAATATGAGAATGACTAAGAAGTGCTGTCTCTCTTTTATGAATGACCTGAAGATGGTTAAACACCACAGAGAAACATTGGTGTTTCTCCACACAGCTTGATCTAATTTCCTCTTTGGTCATTTTCACTTGTGTCACTTCCCAAAGTTAGTTTGGTCTTCCTCCTCCCCTTCTCTTATATACATTGGCAGAGGTGAGGAAATTGCCTAATTGTCTAAAGGAACATTAGCCTCTCACTTTAACTGGGGTCTCCTCTGATGCTACTTTTGTAATTTCTGCTGTTTTATTTAAGGCTCATCTTTGTGTATCCAGGAATACTACAAACAATTTATTCTCTCAAAGCTTTTGGTCCTTATACCTGTGCTCCATGTGAAATGTAACTTTTATTAAGGAAGTTGAATCTTCCACATTAAACTGTGGATACTAGTTTGAGCACTTAATCAGTAATTGAAAGGCACAGGCAAGAAATAGTCTTCAAATTTACATAACCCTTGGAACAACATATTTAAATGTTCTGGTTTTTTACATAAGGTCAGCTTGCTTTGAAAAAAGAGTCTTTGTTCTTAAAATTATTTTAACACTTTGGAAAAAAACATTTAATATTCATTTAACACCTCAGTAGGGATAACTATTACGGAGTCTTCCCTAGTGCCTTTCAGGTTCTTTGTTCAGTTTTTTTTTAATATAATGCTGGTTAATATGCAACTGAGCACTATACCTTTAATGATTTAATGAGACAGCTTCTGAATCCTATGCGTCTTTCTAGCCCATCCTTTGTTGGACGGCGAAGCCATCACTGCTGGCCGAAGTTGACTGTCTTGAAAGGTCAAAAAAAGGCATATATTTAGCAAGAAGCTGGACAGAAAAGTTCTCAAGTTTGTGTTGCGCATTAAATAGTCTCCAGTAAATTCTATGCAAGCAGTGAATTTAATCCCATTCTTGTTAGCCAAATCAGAGTGTCTTTAGAAAACAAAAATTGGAAAGTGGTAAATAACTTGACACATTGAGTTTGAGAATGTGTCTATCTGCCTGGAAAAAAGGAAAGATGGAATGGTAGGGCTGAATTATGTTAATTAGGTAAGTGTCTCTCACTTATTTCTTCTTCAATAACATGGAGACTCATAGATTATACCGGCTTTGCTCTACAAAAAGTAACAGTTGTTAAATATTTTTCTCAAGGTATATCCTTAATATATGGAATTGATCAATGCCATAAATCTTGATTTTATAGACAAGGTGAGAAAAAAAGGTCTGCTAAACAAGAATGTCCACAAGTGAAAATGTCTATTACTGACATTATTTGCATAATTTGTTAATTGCACAATTACAAACTTTATACCATTTACATCATTTTTTTAATGCAAGTTACATAAATTATGTAAGTTGTCCATGTTATCATTTGGGAGTCAAGAAAAATAGAGAAGTTTCTGCACGGCCTAGTGCCTAGCACGGTAGATTTTTAAAAATGTGGTACATATTTTTCTTTTTTTTTGAATTTTTTTTATTGGTTTTTAAAGACAAACAAAACAAACAAAACATAAAAACATCCAGCTTTCTTCCATAAATATACAAGCAGTGTGTCGGTTGGTTTACCATTTTTTTGTGCATCCATTTCGTAGTCTCAATTACAGTTACATTACATAATAACTCATATTATCAATCAGAAATTAAATACCCTAGTATCACTATTGGGCAATCATTTGACTATAATTATATTCATTCATACTTTGCGAGATAACTATAATTTACTTAGTTTATTTTATAACAAATCATATAATCATACCAAATCTATCCTAAAAACATTGTATAGATATAATATCAAAAAAAGAAATATATCTTTATATATTTAGTCTAGAATTCTAGATATTCTATTATTGTGTTTTATTATCTACCGTATTTGCCGGCGTATAAGACGACTTTTTTGCCCCGAAAAACATGCCTCCAAGTGGGGGGGTCGTCTTATACGCCGGTATATCCACTGCCGGCTTTCGGATGCTTGTTGGACGCAGCGAAGGCGCCTCTGGCTTCCCGGATCCCCTGCGTCGCTTCCGCTTCATCCCGCTCGCCTCGCTCCGCCCGAGGCTGCAGCCTTCCTGCTCTTCCCACGGCCCCTGGCACTCTGCCCTGCCGCTGCAGCCCCGGGGATTTCTGGAGGGCGTTTCCGGTGGTGGTGGGGGGTCGTCTTATACGCCGGGTCGTCTTATACGCCGGCAAATACGGTAACCATTGATAGAAAAGGTCCCAAATTTTATAAAATTGTTTATCCTCTTGTTCTCTAATTTCAAATGTCAATCTACTCATTTCAGCACATTCCAATATTTTCTTAATGATTTCTTCCTGCGATGGTATTTTCTCATTTTTCCAGTTTTTAGCAAATACAATCCTAGCCGCTGTTAATACATTTACAATCAGGTATTTCAAATCTTTACTATATGTATCAGGTAAGATTCCCAATAAAAAGATCTCTGGTTTCAAGTCTATGTGTTTCTTTGTCATTTTTTCCAACCACATGCGAATTTTAGTCCAATATTTTCTAGCGTCCTCACAAGTCCACCACTATAATGTGGTACATATTTTTCTAATATGTATGCTTATTTTACCATGATTCAAATGTATCTGAGTACAGAGTTGCTGGACACCTTACTTGTAGCCAATTATCTGCTTCTAATGAGAGTCCCTTTGTTCTTGTAAAGTAGATACAGCTTGTATTTGGTTACCAGAGGAAGTCTTTCACCTTGAAAATGTTGCTAATGTGTTTTGTGCGTGAGGCTCTGCAGACCATCACAAATAAACAATTTGGAGACTGAATGTTGGGTTTGTGGGTTTCACTGAGCTGGCAAATGAATCAGAATGAACCTCAGTGTAAAAATAGCTGAAAAGTAATAGTACATGTTGTTATCCGGAGTTTTCTCTCTAAGAAGTGTAAAGTCGGAATTAAAATGTTTTTGGTTCCAACTGAAGTCAGTTGGAATTCTAGGAAATGAAGAGCAAGTTATGGTTCCTTCAAGTAAAAACTCTAGCTAAGAGTACATTGGAAGAAACAATCTATGGTTAATTTGTAGCAGTTAATAATTAACAAGGATTTGATGAATATTTAAATGGACTCTCTTCTGAAAGGAGAAGCAAGGAATACTTGTTATTAATTCATGAAATTGACAGTATAGCATGGGATTTTTCACATGTGTTCCTTCCTTCCTTTACTCCTTTTAATTAAAACCTGATACACTGGTCATGCTTTCTCAGCACCAGCAGTGTCACTGGGGAGGGTTTAAGGGATAAAATACCTTACATCTTTTTAAGGGAGGGGTTCTTGGTGCTCTCTGAGCTTGGTGGTTTTCTTGCAGATGTTTCATTACCCACACTAGGTAACATTATCAGCGCTAGTAAGGAATGGCGTTTGCTCTGAGTTTATATTCTAGTGGCTTTTCATTCCCTTTGTGGCTTGTTAATAATCTCTTTTGCACGGTATGTAGATGTATGTCTAGATACTGTGCAAAAGAAGATAAGCCAAAAAGGAACAAAAAGAACAAAACAACCCCTGACCAGAAATCAACACCCAGATGATTAACACCAAGATTTACATCAGACCAACAATCAAGAGAGAAACAATACCCAGTCAAGGAATTGTCAGACAAGCTAACGGTAAACAGTCCAACCAAAGGTTCTCCAAGACCATCCCCACCAACACTGAGAGGGCAAGCCACTAGAATATATAACTGAGAGTAAACCCCATTCCTTACTAGCACTGATATTACCTAATTTGGGTGAGGAAATGTCTGCAAGAAAACGACCAAGCTGAGGGAGCACCAAGGACTCCTCGTTTCAAACGGCAAATATTCTCCTTCATTGGTAGGTTTTTAAGCCTTAAAATTTCCAAGGGATTAAAAAGAAAAAAGTTTGATTCACTTTGCGATGCCATCCTTTTAGTGGCTACTTTCTCTGTGGCCCTTGGCATGCATTATGCATACAAAAAAGAGACGGACAAGTGTTCTTGGGTGGGAAGTTGTTCCTAGCTCAGAAGGATACGCTGCTCAAGAGCCACCAAGAGATCAAGGAGCACAAGGATGGACCCCTGTCAGGGGGTCCCTTTCAGCCCCTTTCCAGGCTCAGCTGCAGTTCCCTCAGGCATTTGGGTTGGGAGTTTGAACCAGCCCTGGTGGTGAATTTGTTTTTATGGTTTGAAAATGGAATAGTTTAGATGTGGGTGTGGGTTATTTTGCATGTTATGTTATGTTATGGTTTTTTGCTTTTCATCTTTTGCATATTGTCCAGAAGATAGGTGGTTATACAAATGGTCTAAATAGAAATAGTACATATTGTTTATGAACAAAATTAGGGAAAATATTTACTTCCTTGACACAATGTAAGAAAAGAGGAGTGGTTTTATATATTAAAGAGACCACCCCAGCAAAATTGATTTATACCGATGATGATGGAAGAATACTAATGGTGGAAATAATGGACAATAATATGAAAACACTCCTGATTGCAATTTATGCTCCGAATGACAAACAAGAATTCTACAAAAAATTACATATGAAAATAATCGAACTGGACTATACTAATATAGTTATGATGGGAGATTTTAATGGAATTGTAGACAATAAATTGGACTATACAGCACAGAAAACAATAAAGCAAAACAGAAAGACTCTCCCTAAATCTTTTTTTAAAATGGTAGATGAAATAAACTTAAAAGATACATGGAGAGAAAGAAATGCTAAAACTAAACAATACACCTTCTATTCAAATAGACACTTATCATGGTCCAGAAAAGATATGATATGGATGTCAACAGAATTAATAACTAACATTCAAGAAATAAATATTGAAACAAGTACTTGGGCAGATCACAATCCAATGACAATTAAATGGAAAGGACAAAAAAGAAGATCTGGATGGACGTTAAATAATACTATTTTAAAGGAAAAAGACTTCACACAGTGGAGGAAAAAGAAAGAATTGGCTTTTTTCTTTAGAGAAAACAAAAAAGAAGATACATCAATTCAGAATCTATGGGATACAATGAAGGCATATGTTAGAGGCTTGCTAATAGACTATACAAGGAAAAGGAATACTATGAAAAGACTAGCCTCTAAGGCCCTAGAGGATGAGCATAAAAGACTTGAAAAAGAGCTACAGAAAATGCCACAGAAAAAGGACATCAAGCTAAAAATGGATATAATTAAACACAAAATGGGTCAAATAGAGAAAGAAGAATTGGCACAGAAAATTAGAGGTGTTAAACAGAACTATTTTGAAGACGCAAATAAACCAGGTAGATGGCTAGCATACAAATTGAGAAAGGAGAAAGAATCAAGGAAAATATTGCAATTAATAGATGACCAAGGCCAAGATGGCAATGGTAGCAAAAGAGAAGAAGGAAATCATTTGAAACTTCTATGGGAAATTATATATGCAAGAGAATATTGATGAGGAAAGAGTTAAACAGTACTTACAGAATGCTAATTTACCTCAGATACTTAAAAAGACTGAAAAAATGTTAGAAAGCAATATAACGATGATGGAGTTAACCGAAGCACTCAAGAAGCAAAATAATGGAAAGGCACCAGGCCCAGATGGACTTCCGGCAGAATATTGTAAAACATTACAAGAATCGTTGAATCTTCCATTGCTAGAAGTTATGAATGAAGTTATGTTAAAGAAGAAGATACCTAAATCATGGTCAGAAGCCTATATTACACTTATTCCAAAAGAGGAGGCCGACCCATTACAAATTAAGAACTATAGACCCATTTCTCTACTAAATGCAGATTATAAAATCTTTGCTTCAATATTGGCAGAAAGACTTAAAAAATATTTAAATAATTTTATCCATCCTGATCAAAATGGATTTCTCCCAAAGAGACAAATTAAAGACAATATGAGAGTAATCTTGGACACCTTGGAATACTACGAGGCACATCCTGAAAAACAAATGGCTCTGATATTTCTAGATGCACAGAAGGCATATATAATTATAAGATAATGTGAATTGGTGATTCATGTTATTATTGTTGGAACAGATGGGTTTTGCTAGAAAATTTATTCAAGCAATAGAAGCTATATACTATAAGCAAACGGCAAAGGTAATGATAGAGGGACAACTGACAGACTCTATCAATATAAGAAAAGGAACAAGACAAGGGTGCCCACTATCACCTTTGTTGTTTGTGTTAACTTTGGAAGTGCTAAACAGAAATATTAGAGATGAAAAGAATATAAAAGGAATGAAAATCAAAAAGGAAGAATTTAAACTGCAAGCATTTGCAGATGATCTGGTTTTCATCTTAGAAGACACTTTAGAAACAGCATCAAAATTGATAGAAAAGATAGAGACATATGGAAAGGTGGCTGGTTTGAAAATAAATAAAGATAAGACAAAGATTTTGACAAAGAATATGCTATTAAGACAAAAGGAAGAACTGGCAGACCTATTGAAAATTCAGATCATGAATAAGATTAAGTACTTAGGGATATATTTGACAGCAAGATGTAGTACATTAAAAGAGAATAATTATATTAAACTTAAACAGCAGATAGCGCTAGATTTGGTGAAATGGGAAAATTTACAACTGTCACTAATAGGGAGAATTTCAACAATCAAGATGAATATATTACCCAGAATTTTATATTTGTTTCAAACAATTCCAATTAGGCTTGGAAAAGACTACTTTGAAGATTTAAATAAAATTGTGTTGAAATATATATGGCAAGGTAAGAAAGCGAGAATAAAGTTAAAACTTTTGCAAGATGCTAGAATTAGAGGAGGATTTGGTTTGCCTAATTGGGAGTTGTATTACCAAGCTACAAATCTGATGCGGGTTAAGGAATGGATAACACTAAGAAATACTAGATTGTTGACATTAGAAGGACATGATTTGTTGTTGGGGTGGCATGCTTTTTTATGGTATAAAGGAACTAAAACACAGGGGTATTTTAGAAGACATTATATATGGGAGGCTCTGTGGTTAAACTGGGAGAAGATTAAAAGACAATGTTATTTGAAAATTCCAGTCTGGTTATCGACTATTGAAGCATTTTCGTATCCTATAATATACAAAAAGGAACAAACAGTTAGATATGGTGAAATATTGAATGAAAAGGGTGAACTTAAATCTATGCAAAAACTAGAGGAACAAGGTATAAAGATGAATTGATTTTCATATGCGCAAATACATTCAAGGTATGATAAAGATTCTAAAACAGAAGGTTTCTATGATAAACTGACTGACTTAGATAAGATTTTGACAGGTACTGATGAAAAGGTGATTAAAAAATTGTATGGATATTAGAAATTAAACTAGAAGAACAACAAGTTAAAGAAACTATGATTGCTTGGGGGAAGAATTTTGGATATGGGATCGATTTAGAGAAATGGCAAAAATTGTGGTCTCAAAATTATAAAATGACAATGTCAACAGCATATAAAGAAAATTGTATAAGATGTTTTACAGGTGGCGTTTCCCCCCCGACAAGAATAGCAAGAATGTTCAAGAATAAATCCGAAAAATGTTGGAAATGTCATCAGACACCTGGCTCATATTACCATATGTGGTGGACTTGTGCGGATGCTAAAAAAATACTGCACTAAAATCCACATGTGGTTGGAAAAAATGACAAAAAAACATATAGACTTGAAACCAGAGATATTTTTATTGGGAATTTTACCTGAAATATATAGTAAAGACTTGAAATACCTGATTGTAAATGTATTAACAGCAGCTAGGATTGTATTTGATAAAAACTGGAAAAATGAGAAAATACCATCACAGGAGGAAATCATTAAGAAAATATTGGAATGTGCTAAAATGAGTAGATTGACATTTGAAATTAGAGAACAAGAGGATAAACAATTTTATAAAATTTGGGATCTTTTCTATCAATGGTTAGACAATAAAATACAGTAATGAAATATGTAGACTTTTAGAAAATAATAAATATATAAAGATGTACTTCTTTCTTATTATATCTACAAAATGATTTTAGGATAGATTTGGGATGATAATATGAACTGTTATAAAATAAACTAAGTAAATTATGATTATCTTGTAAAACATGAATGAATAAAAGTATAGTCAAATGATTGATTAATAATGATACTAAGGTATTTAATTTTTGATTGACAATATGAGATTATATGCAATGTAATTGTGATTGAAGACTACGAAATGGAAGCACAAAACAATTAGTAAACCAACCGGCATACTGTATGTACACCTATGGAAGATAGCTTGATGTTTTTATGTTTTGTTTGTTTATGTTTGTTTTTAAAAACCAATAAAATTTAAAAAGAAAAAAGAAATAGTACATATTGTTCATTGTTCCGATGCAAAACATTATCCCACAGCTTGAAACAGGAAATAATGGATAAAAGTACAGTACAAGCTGTACTGCATACTCAAAATTTTTCAGGAGTGTCAGAATGGGAAGGTCAGAATGGGGTGCACAATCTAACTTATAAGGGAGGGGGGAATATTCATAATACAGGCATTTGCTAGCAAGAAGCTGTCCCTAAGCTCTTCCAGCCCATACCTCAAGAAATGGGAGACCAAGTTTCTTTTAGGACATCTGGGTTGAGTTTACAATTCCAGTTGGGAGTCCTGTAGATCCCTGATGCCAAGTCATGTGATTTGATTTCAGAGGTGACAGCCAGCACATTGAATTGCATCGGGAGTCTAAATGGAAGCCAGCACAGAGTTTAGAGCAGGGCTCTCCGACCTTTCTGACCTCAGGGACCACTAAATTCATAATTTTAAATCCCGTGGACCACTAATATGATCTGCCTAATGACTGGCTGGGTGGGCGTGGCCAGGTGATCATGTAACTGGGTAGGCGTAGCCAACTCGATGTCACTCACATTGAGGGGCGCCTCACTGGCCTCTACTCACCCTTCCCCTCTTAGCTACTTCTAGCCTGCCGGCCAGGCCCCAACAGGAAGCAGCCACCATGAGAAAGAGTTGGCAAAACAGCTGGCTCAGTTCAAATTGGATCTGACCAAGGGGGCTCAGGAGAAGCACCTGAGGACTACAAGCATAGGCTTTCCAAGCAGAGGGAAGACCTGTGAGAGTGCAAGGCCAGGAGGCTCAGTGGGCTTAGATGGTCAACCAGTTCCAGGCCATGATGCAGTCCTCCTGGCTCTTTGCCACCAGCGGCACTTCCCTCCAGCCTTCGTCCAAAGCCCGCACCAGGGAGCTGAAGCAGACCCCAAGTTGAAATTTCTGCCCCCCCTTCGACCCGCACAAAAAACCCCAAAGGGGGAGACTGCAGCAAAACAAATGTTCATTGCACGTATCCGGCCCAGGGGCTGTAGTTTGAGGACCCCTGATTTAGTGCAATATAAAAAATGCAAACAATTTTTCTGGGGACCACCAAAATTTTCTCGCAGACCACCAGTGGTCCACAGACTACCAGTTGGAGACCCCTGGTTTAGAGCACAGGTATAACATGCATGTAGCAATGGGTGCCAGCTAAAAGACAAATTGCTGCATTCTAGATTAATTGAAGGTTAAAATGAGAGCCAGTTTGTTTCCGAGAAAACAAAACAAAAAACCACCCAGTTCTCATTTACAGTTATCTTCTGATTATTTCTTCCCTTACATTCTAAAGTAGTTTTTAAAAAAAATATGCAAGAAAGACAAGGCTTTTCCAAAACTGTTGCATTAATTTTCATGGCCAAAGCTATATAAAACTGGCATTAATCATTGTCTAGCACTCTGTTAAAGAATAAAAATACAATTTAAAATATATACATAATGTTGACATGGAAATGCATACACGACAAATGGAAGCCTTAAGCCAGTGATGAACCTTTTTGTTGTGGTGTGCCGAAAGTGCGCATGCGCGCGATAGCGCGTGCACCGGCACCCACAATGCAATGCCCCCTGCACATGCAACACCCCCGCCCCCTTACCTGCACTGCTCATGTGCGCACCTCCCAACTGATTTTTGGCCCATTTGAGGCAGTTTTTGTCCTCCCGGAGGCTCGAGGGAAGCCTCTGCAGCCTCGAGAGGCCTTCCGGAAATACCAGAAGTGCCGGTTTTCAGCCTCTGGAGCCCAGGGGAGGCTGTTTTCGCCCTCCTGGAGGCTTGAGGGAAGCCTCTGCAGCCTTGGGAGGCTGAAAAACCATTTTTTGCTCGTTTTAAATAAAAAGACCCATTTTTCAGCCTCCCGAAGCTCAGAGGCTTCCCTCAAACATCTGAGGACGAAAATGGCTTCCCCCAGGCTCCAGAGGCTGAAAACAGGCACTCCCGGTATTTCTGGAAGGCCCATTTTTTAGCCTCCTGAGGTGACAGAGGCTTCCCTTGAGCCTCCAGGAGGGAGAAAATGGCCTCAAACAGGCTGAAAATCAGCTGGGAGGCACGCGCATGCGCAGTGAAGGCAAGTTTGTCTGGGGCTCTGCGTGCCACCTGTAGCACGCGTGCCATAAGTTTGCCATCACGGCCTTAAGCCAATGCTCTACATTTGGCCTTGCAGCATCTTTCAGTTTCAGATGAGCCAGGGTATTCCTTGGAATGAAAAAAGTGGACCTTGGCTTCTGGCAGAAATAAAGGAAAGAAAGGACCAAGAAAGAATCCATACCAGTTCCAAAGATAATAGAAACTATATTCATCTCAGGATATTTATAAAAGAAACCTCACAACGATGTGTTCAGTACACTAGCAAAATATTTATTTTTTTAATAATGACATAACAGAAGTGAAAGGTTTTTGGTGTGCCACAATAATTGCAGTTAAAGAAAAAAAATAGGATTAATGGACTCTTTATACATCTCAATGTCAAAAAAAAAAAAAAGGGTTAGCATCAAATCTGAACTGTTCACCATTTAAACAAATGTAAAATGTATAACCGCCCCCAACATATATATAAAGAATTATAGTTTTAAAATCTATAAAAAGTAAAAAATATACACTCAGAAGATCTAACTCTTATTCAGTCTTTAATATAAAACTGTAAACATTTATTTACACAAAGAAAATGTGTAGAATAGAAAAACTGAGCACCCTTTCCATTTTGCGGGGGTTTAGGAAGGTGGGGGTGGGTGGGAATCTTGGACAGGTATGGTTTTTTTCACACCTTTTCACCAGCCCAGGACTGCAGCCTATAAATAAAACTGAGGCAACAGACCAGGCAAATTGAGGGGGGCGGGGGCGTCTTATTGCTCTGAAGCTGCAGCAAATAGAAAGCACAAGTGCAGATATTCATTTATGAACTGCTACTAGTGACTGATGGGGAGTGCCCTGCACTTAGTCCCAGATAGCTTCCATGTTCAAGCATCACTGCACGGGACTTTTTACCTCTTTAACATTATGCTACATGTTCAAATCTGAAAACAGTTACATATCAACTGAAAGCAACAACAAACTGAAATCAAGTTGAAGATATAACGTGACTTACATTTTAAGAATTTTTAAAAATTCTTTTTAAATTTTGAAAGAGCAGAGTCAATCCAAAATTACTTCCAGTTGATTTATTTCACCAGAAGGCATTTGTCACTCTTGAAATGTTATAGATTACAATTTTCCATCAGTCCAGCAGCAGGACTACTGTGTGTGGAACGATGGGAGTTGTAATCCAGGATACCTAAAAACCAATAGGAGGCTTATACATAGTTGTGTGTGCTACAGCTGATAAAACCCTATGTAACGAAACAAAGACAGACCGGAGGTATCTGCCTTTAGCACTTGAAACACAAAATGTCCATTCCATTTTCTTCTCACCAAGATTTTCTCTGATAAATTAAGCTAGAATGTTATAAAACTTTTTTCTGCACCTAAAGAAGAAATAAGAAGAACTCAAATAATTACGAAATATGAGGTCCCAAGTACCTCCACAAACAAAAGGAAGGCACACTGGTGCAAGATTACCAAAACATATAACAAATATATCTCCATTTCAAATCTCTTTTTCCCAGACCCCAATAATTTTTCCATGGTCAAAAAAGCAGCTACAAAGATTACAATGTTTTCCAGCTAACATTCATTTTGGATCAAATCTTTGAATTGAATTCACTGAAAAATGTAACTCAATTGCTGATTTATGGAAAAAATTAGTAAATTTAACTCTAATCTAATTTACTTACAATATAGTGACACCTATACTTTAATTATTAAATTAAGCAACTCTTATTATAAAATGACATTTTAAAAATATACACTCAATGCAACTTGCTTCAGTTTGGACATATCAGTAGTGGAACCATTCATTAACATGCAGTTTTCACCATTACCCCCCATCAATTATCCCCCAAAACACAAACATCTCTTTAGCAAGGCATACTAATCTTGATCATGGATGGCAACCATATACAATGAAACGAACGGGAAAATTAAATTAAAAGTAGTGTTAAAGCAGATTGTTTTCCAAAGTGCACATTTGAGAGGAACACTGCAGATACAGTAAAATAATTTCCTATTGTTCATCTTTTTTAATCTCACTGTTCCCCCGTCCAAAATATCCCAGATTCTCTATAAACTTTCCTGAACGTATCTGAGGCAAAGGAAATTCTATGATTCTCAGTTGCAAATGTTATGAAGTAAATTAAGATCCCTTATAACAGGAGGTAAGTAGCCCTGTTCATTAAAGAACAAAACAAAACCCCGAGTAGGAATAGAGAGGTATCTAAAACAACTTTCAAATTGATTACCTTTATAACTAAAGGTTAAGGCAAAAGGTGGTTTGTTGGCAAGCAGAAATTCTTTTTGGTAACACATTAAAAAATAATTCTCTTTTCCTTGCCATATAAGGAACTAATTTTACACATCCAGGAAAGTATCTCCATGGAACATGATGAATTAGCAGCATTTATTTCATTGGAGATTAATCTTTATATTTCTAAAAAGCTTCAATCACCATTTCCCCCAAAGGGTCTCACAAGTTTTAAATTTTTAAAAGAAGTATAGTGTGCCCCCATCTTCCTGTGCCATTATTGCAAAATTTTCAGTCCATAACTCCCAAGGCATAAGACTTGTTTCACCTGCTTGACAAAGACTAGATCATCCTATCCACATAGTACAGTATGCACATGGAAACAAAAACACTGCTAAGTATAAATGCCCTCTGAATCAAACAGAAAAATGAGGTGTGATCAGTCCAACTTTAATGAATGCAGGAAAGGAGATAGAAAAAAGTGCACACACTTGATTTTAAGTCTTTCTCCAATTAAAAAAAATAACTAAAAAAAGAAAAAGAACCCCCCTCCCCACCAATAGCAGAGTGCAAATTGCTTTGTTCAGTAAGCCATAAGCCAATTAAGACCAGTTCCCCAGTTTAGATCTACAGCAACCTGCTGCTGGAAATGTCGTAATATTTAAGGATCTCCAGTAAGTAAACCCATTATCAGTTATTGTGAATTCTTGTATCTGGTTTGCTAAGAATGTTGGCACACATTGATTAGAACATTATCTTCCCTAAACTAAGGAGGATTCCAAAAAGAACAAGGTCTATACACAACCTTTCCTTGAAAATAAAGGTGGCACTTTTTACTATTTAGAGATCCAAATTAAGATAAAGAAGTCTATCTAGCACTATCTGTAGGAAAGAATGCCTTAACACTGAATATTTAAAGCCTATCTCTTGCTGGCTTACTTTCTGCACTGCAACTGCACGGGTTCACATTTAAGTCTTCAAATGTAAAACACTGGGAAAAGTTACATTTTTTGCTGGGCTGTTTGGGGTACGCACCAAACTGTTTGCATATGTTGTGTTCCAGACACACTACAGAAATGACATTTTTTCCTAGAAAGCTGGTGCATCTTTTTTCATGTTCTTAGACCCAGAAAGAAGCAACTCCAATACATTCCCACTAGAGCCTGTGAGTTTTCAATGGCACAGGTATTTGGTCCAAAGTTAATTTGTAATTTAAAAAAAATGACTCAGGGAAGAAAACAAACAAACAAATCTCATTTCAGTGATTCCCTAACAACTCATCCAAATCATTCATCCACTCTTCTGAAGTCCTGTTTTTCAATAAAGTGTCTATGAGGTCTGTATCCCCAGTTAAGTTCTGTAGTCCATTACCTCCAGATGGGTTACTGTAGGCAAAAGGCAATTCCTGATTAGCTGTCCTCACAGGATAACCTTGAGTACAGTGTAGACTGGTTCTGCTGGACAGCTGCTGATTCTGATTCTGGCTGAAAGTCAGATCTGGGACAGTTTGATTCATGCCTGACAAGACCTGTTGTGACTGGACTGGCTGTTGAGTAGGAGGGTTTGTCCGCTGCTGGGCCCCTAACGGTGACAGTATCTGTCCAGAGACGGCTGAATTCATGGGTGCTATTGTCCTGCTGGTGTTGAGACTTACCTGAGGCATTCCTTGGGCAAACTGCTGACTGGGCAACTTCTGCTGCATATGGAACGTGGAGCTGGCAGTAAACATTGCTAAACTATTATTTCGTTGAGCCTGATTGTTCATATTTGATATACCTTGATGCTGCCAGGATGAATTTTGGGCCCCAATTGCTGGCATTCTTGCCATCTGAGGCTTGGATAATGTAGCGTTTAGCGCTCCTTTATTATGTTGGTGAGAAATGCCTGGATTTCCTAGCGTGTTCTGTCCATATCCAGCAGGAAGAGCAGTGCCCTGAGCCAAACCGGGTTGTCTTGGCATCTGTGCCTGACCATTGGCAGTTGGATTTGCATGTTGTTGAACCATCTGGGTCATACCAGATGCCATGCTGTATAAATTACCTCGCTGAATAGTCTGCAGACCAGTATATTGATTAACTGCTCGATCTTGCTGATTGCTGATTGATGAGACAGAATTGTGTCCTGGTCCAATCTGAATCATGTTCTGATTCTGAGAAAACATTCGTGGACTGCTGGAGTTGGACTGGCCTAAATTATTTACCCCTGTCATTGATGGAGATGAGCCTGTAATATAAGATTACCAACATTAGTGATTTTAAAAATCAATCTAAACATTTTTAGAATATTTGATGCAACATTTTATATATGCAACATGCAATATAGTAGTTTCTAGCAATCTGCAGGGCTTGCTGGCTTAGATCTAGTGAAATTGATCTAGTGATTTTATTAACTTGAACAATTAATCTGCATTTTATTGTGGAGACTTTAAATTTCTACTTTGTAGCTATTATCAATCATTAGGAATCACACACTATAATAGCACAAGTATTTAATAAATAAAATAATAGTACAAGACTATATTTTGACTACAAAAGAGCATTTTAAACATAGCTCATGTCCACCCCAGTCCTTCATAGTTCAACCCCACATCCCCCTTTACCTGGGAACTGGCCAACTTGTTGTTGATATGCGTTTTGTGTCTGATCTTGGTACTGAGGAGGTGGTCGTGTCAAATGCCTTTGGAGTTGTTGCTCCTGATGATGCCTTTGTTTCTCCTAAAATGGAAATCCAGGTTATAAGAATTCTCCATACAAAGCATCGGATGTATCATTCTACTGTTGAACCAACTAACCACTGCTTTGATTGTAATATAACACCAATTTTAGAAAATAAAATATGCTTTATATGCAAAATGTAATGTGTGCTCTTTAAAACACCAAAAACAAAAGTGAACAGAAAATGTTCTGAGTAAAAAAAAAAAGTGACAATATACTTAATGTGAAGAAATTAATGTAAACAGTCCTTGTGTCAAGCTTCATTTGGAATAACTTCCTCCATGCAGTTCTATTAATAGTTTGTCACTGCCTTCTTCCAACATTCTTTTTTAACTCAATGTTCAAATGAGACTTATTAGCTTCTGGTTTCAGACCAGAAGCACAGAAAACGGCTCAACAGAAGCATTAGTACTGTAGTTTACTACATTTGGAACGTCTGGTACTGTGAACTGTCTACATACCCTATTATTTTGTATTTGCTCTTTCTAAACACAATGATAGATGATGGGGATTACAATTAGGTACTGGCAATCTTTCTCAACAACTATTACTTTAATCAATCTGTTTTTTTTTATTATGATTCTCCTTGTCCATCTGAAAAATCAGGAAGAACCAGCAGATTTTGCAATAAAAGCATCTGCAATAATCTTATTCAGCATTCTAGACAGTGAATTATTCATTTCAGGTCTAGGACAACTCAGTGCGGCCAGCCACCAGGTTTTCGCAGGAAAACTCAACACAGCCAATTCGCCACAGGGCATCTGGAAGGAGAACTGGGTGGGCAGACAAGCGAGCAGAGAGGCAGTCGGGGGCTTCTCCCTGGAAGGAGAGCTGGGCAGGTGGGTGACCGATCAGGTTGGCAAAGTGCAGGGTGGCAGCAATGGCCAGGGGCTTCCCACTGGAGGGTGGATGAATGGATGGGCAGAGCAGTGGTGACTGGGGGCTTCCTATTTTCACATATATCTCCTGCCACTACACTGAGCTGCTTGGAGTTTGGTAGTGGCAGTATTTGGGCCATTTGGCAGTGGTAGCAGGATGTATGAAAATGGGACACACCTGGCCTTTACTGCCACCAAATGGCCTGAATGCTGCCGCCGCCATGTGTTCCAAACTCTGAATGGCCAGGAGCTTGGTAGAGCAGCAGCAGGGTATGTATGTGTAAAAATGGGGAAACCCCTGACCGCCACTTTGCTTACCCCCATCCATCTTTCCCTTTGGCCCAAAACTCCTGGCCATCGCTGTCGCTCTGCGTTCTGCCTACCTGCTCGCTCAACTGGGTCTCTCTCTCTCTCTAGCTGTCCACGACAAATTGGCTGTGTTGATTTGTCCTGTGGTGTCTTGGCAGCAGTGAATTGGCAAAGGTGAGTTGTCAGTGGCGAATTGTCCCATTCCATTCCTTTCTCCATCGTTTCCCTTCCTGCCCCTTATTAGGGTTGTCCTAAGCTGTTTTTGAACTGTTCACTCTTAAAGTTTCTTCTTCTGTTTCTTAACACTTCCTTTATCAGGAGAAATGTGCAACTGTGGCCAGATAAGGATCCATACTCATCCCTAAATTTTGGAAAGAGGGATCCTGTAGCCATTATCCTGACTTTCTGTTTAGATCAATTTTCAAGGCAGCTCACAATAATGAGTAACTATCTCCAAGGATGTCTGAATGCAATCTTCCTAATCCTTTCTGAATTAAGGGCATGTGTTTAGAGGGGTGAGTGGGAATCCTACAAAATTTCCAGTAAGTAGTAATAGGTTACTCTCATGGTAAACATAATATGCAACCTGATTATTTAACATAATCAAGTACTGAATATTCCACTACATTGGCACAATCTTTGTCACAACAATATGTTTTACCTGTTCAGCAAGAAGTTGCCTCTGTCCCATTAGAAACTGTTTATGTTGTTCTATTAACAACTGCTTTTGTTGCTGCTTATGATCTAGTAGCATCTGGTGCTGCTTCATTACAGCTGCTTGCTGCTGACTGTTGAGATAAACTGCATTGCCATGGTTACCTGCCATGGAAACATTGGGAGGCTGTGCATTTACACCAGTGACAGGAACAGAAACAGGAATGCGAGGAACACCAGCAGAATGATTTTGATCCTATAAAAGCAGAGACAGATATTGGCTTTGCAATAAGGACATCACTTGAGAAAAGCAGTATCTCCACATTTTTAATGACCACAATAAAGGAAAATTTCTTCAGTGTTCACTACTTACTACACAGCGATTCATGAAAAAATATAATCTAGCATAACTCTGTTTCTAAATGAAATGAGCCAAGGTGTATGAAATGGCTTATACAGAAGAGCTGCCACCTAGAGGCAATCTGAAGAGGTTTCATTGTAACAGGCAGTTCAATAAAGATCAGCTTCCGTGTGGTAGATAGACTCTTTCAATAGGATTTTTTTAAAAAACGTAAATAACGGAAACTTTTCAAATAGACTCCTATCTCTAGTTTTAATGAGGATAATACTACGTCCATCCTAAAACTGGCTATTTCAATTGTACATTAATATGGTTAAGATCTGAATACCCACAGAGTACAGGTTCCAAAAATTCAACTCAGGCAGAAATTGTTCACAATCAATATTAGATTCTTAATTGATGCAACTACTTTGGACAAAATCAATTGTTTTGGATACAGAGAAATAAGATTTCTAATTGGTTTCTGAAGCAGACCTTGATTCACCTTGGGTCTCCCCAAATTTTAATATTTTGAGTGAATGTTTTATTCTACTCCTAAATTTAGTGGTAACATTATGTGGTTGCCTTTGTTAAATTTATGACTGTACATATCAAGAATGCAATGTTCTCCCTTTTAATTTTGCCATTATGTGAGTTTGTTATCGTATGTGAGAGTAAATCAGACTAATTCCATTAGCTTAGTAATAATTTTGATATGCTTAAATATTTGGTTTTATGTTATGCTGTGATTGTTTTGTTGATCTTAGTATAAAAATTATTTCTTGGTTATGGAAGATAAATGAAAGATTAGGTAAACAAATGGTTTAGCATTTCTTGAATATTTAGAGTAAGAGAAATTTGCTAAAGATAATTTAACTCTGATGTTTATTTATGAATTCTTTCTATTGACATTTCTTTATGTACTTTCAAGAAATAACTTTAAATAACTTTGTTTGAGTGGTATCTGTGAGAATCTACCATGCATTAATTACCATTACATGTTGAGAAAGATGGATTTCATTTTCGAATTTAGCAATGGGCATTTAATTTGATTTCTGTTTCTGGCTGGAACAAAGAATTCCAGAATCCAGCTCCTTCGCTGGCTCAAGTGAAAGCTATAATTTGACCCTATAATTTGAAATTTTGCAAGTATTAGGATACTTGTTTGTTCAGGGATCAGTTCTAATATACAGAAGCATAGATACAGAAGATATTTAGCTACAGTTAGATTGTTGACCCTTTAATGCATGAGATGATCCATTGTAGGATAAAAACAACTGCTAAATCAGTGTTGGGGATAAAATTACATGTAGGAGAACAGTGGTGGGACAATGGACAAGAGATGGTGGATCGATTTCTGACTCAGCAAAAATCCCAACTCTGATATTAATATATAAATTAAATAATACTCAGGCAAGAATACATCAAATTTTGGCATGCTTTTGGGTCAGAATAGGTTTAAATTGCCATTCTGATTACTTTCCTCCAGAATTTGCTACATAATATTGAATCAAAAGCTTGCTCTTAAGTCACCCGGCATAATCCATTAAATAAGCACAAATAAAATCTTATCAAAACTAAGAACTAAGCTCCATTATCTTTAGATTTTAGCCTTCCATGAGGTCATCCTTAAGGGAGAGAAAATTAGGCATTAATAATGGGAAGAAAACAATGTATTAATTCCCATCATTAAAGTCACCAGTGAATATTGATACTGAATGTGAAAATTGAGAAATTAAATCAAGGCAATCCTATCTACTGTAAATTTGACATGGGATACAGATACACACCAGGAAAAATTTAGTTGTATGGCCTTTTAAGGGAATATCTACAGTTAGTTGGTCATAATAAGGAATTAAGTACCTACATACGTATTATGCTATTGTGTAATTTTATGCAAAGTACAGAAAAAGACTAAGACAGAAAAATTACAAGTCAGGCTACAGATATTATCTCCTTTGTCCATCATGGATTTGGAGACTGAAGCTTTCATATAATATTATTTTAGTAAGTCAGAAAAAGTATAGTCTAAATTACTAGTCTTTACTGCATTTTGGTCACATTCAACATTCCTTACGGTGTAAGTACAGCATCTGGAAAGATGTATCTTATTTGCTGAAATGGTCTATTAACATTTATTGTCAGTCAATATTTGATTTAGTCTTATTGTTGTCAGAGAGATAAGAAATAGGAATGTTTTTAGCAATTTGAAGCAAACTCTTTGGAGCTGTTTCATCATGGAATATTTCAGGCTTCTTTTTCTTTCCCTATTTAACTTTTAATGCAATCAAGTATGTCTCTCTCTGTGTATATTTCTTCTTTTGTTAATCAGATTTAGTACAATATTATGAAACCAATATTATATATTGCCTATCTGTTATCTTATTATAGGACAATTGGAGAACAGGAAAGTGAGCTATGTGAGAAGTATACATGCATAATAACAACAAATATGTTAGTGTGTCATTCAATAGGAGATGGTAAACATGGATATGTTGTTCAACATTTCCTTGATTACCACAAGCACTTCATTCTTGGAGGTAGACAAGAGGTACGTATCTAATGAAATTTCATAGCAGTTGAATCAGAAATAGTTTCCCTGCCCTAAATTTCATTTGGTCTTGAACATTCACTTCATCAATAACATTTAATGACCCATGTAGGATTATGGTCATATCTATGGAGTTTTTCCACAATTAATAAAAAGCATATATATTGAGCTTTTTACAATTAATAAAAACTATAATCAACTGCCAAGATTCAGTTTGTTTTTCTACAAGACTAATAATCTTTATATTAAAAAAATCAGAAAAAAAAAAAATTTCCTTAATATACATTGCGTCTTGGTTAACAGGTTTTGAACTGTATACTAATCCTGAAAGAACAATTCAGAAAGGAGAAAAACTACATACAGAGAAAGTATTTTAAGTAACTTTAAGTAACATGAAAAGTTCAAACTTTTTAAAAGAACAAGATATATAAAACATGCTGTTTTTTAAGTGAAAGGTTGATTTTAGTAATCCCATTATCCTCTTAAAATCTCATTTACTACACCCAGTTGGCTGCTAGAAATACTTACCTGATTGTGTGGTACTAAAGGCCTATAAGCAATATTTCCAGTCTTCTTCATTACAAATATCCCACTCTGCTCATCGCTCATATGAGGCAGCGTAGACTGCTGATGTTGCTGAAGATATGCTAACATAGAAGACTTGTTTTGTCCGGATACTGTGATTCCTTGCCCACATTCTTTGTAATGTGAAAGAGGTTTTGTATTCCCATAATCTAGCACAGAGTTTTGATTAGATGCAGAATTCTGATTTATGTTGCTTGACTGATGGCTTAGCATATTTCCACCATGATAATTACCTCCTGCCCTAGGAGAACTCTTGTTTGGCATATTGGTTATCAGGAGTTTTTGGTTACTGAAGTCTTGCTGGTAAACAGAAGGGCTAGTTGGATTTTCCATAGTGAATGGGACAGCCAATGGACTGTGAGAAGGTCCCGATTGTTGCCAGCTAGACATTTGATTGGATGGATGGACCTGCTGTTGGTTCTGCAACAATTGATCTCTCTTTTGCTTAGCAGCTATTTGCTGTAGCTGTTTAGCAGATGACATCTCTTTGGCACTCCCTGTAGTTTGTCCAGATAACAATGAATTAGATAGAGGCCTCTGAACATTTTGGGCCTGGCTTGCTGGTTGCATTATTGACTGGTTGGGATTTTCAGACATGGACTGATTTGAAGGCTGAAACATTGTCTGAGAATTACTAACTGCTGGAGAAGCAGCACTAACAGGGACAGAAGATGTACCAATAAATGTGCCAGTAGAGGTAGATCTGACTTGTGGAGAGCCTATCTGTTCCTGTTCATAGTCTGCCGGGGAAAATTCAGTCTTTATAATAATATCTTGTGGTAAAGGAGTTTGTGCAGTTGAATTTGAAGGATCAACATCTTTCTTTTCCTCAAAGTCTTCGGTAAATAGGTCTTTCATATCCTCATCAGGCATTGACCTGTTTAGTTCATTCATTAGTTCCTCCCACTCTTGGTCATTAAGGTTAAGATCAGACATCAAATTGTTTTGCGATATCGAACTTCCTGGTCCCGTAATCATACAAGGGAGATCATCTGGTTCTTGTTTGAGTTCTTTGTTAATAACCATAGCAAATGAGTCATCAGCATCACTGCTTCCATTCAACTGAAGGCTAGAATCTGGCAGATCTTTTTTGCTCATTCCTTCTAGGCTTATGGAATGTTTTCCATTAAGCTGTAAATTTTCTCCACTGGAAGGTTTGCTGTCAGGCTGATGTAGAGGGGAAACAGGAGGTATTCCATTGGAGGAGCCACTCAACCCACCAAGACCACCATCATGACATAATTTCTTGGGCACAGGAAATATGTCTCCAAAGCCATTTGGCTGGTCGCCATTTTGAGGTGAAACAGAATTATCAAGTTTCCTTTTTACAGTTTCATGGAGCTGCTGAAAGAAAAATAAAGTTAAGTTAGTTTATTGTTTAGCAGTATAAATATCCTAGTTTTTTAGACTTGCAATCTTCACAGAAATACAATGAATTAATGCTTCTTTCAAGGAACTATTTTAACTTACATGATTAAATATTATGCACATTCTGCAGTAAGAGAAATGAAGGATGTTTGCACATGTAAAAATATTTTTTTCAAAATAAAATATTATTTTGGCAATATTGACTAACTCTTTCACCAAACTTCATTTCCAGGGCTACTACAGTGAAAGTCATTTCTGTCCTGATGTCAGCAAAAGTCCATTAAGGGTTACCACTACCAGAGATAACATCATATATAGTTTAATCAAAGAAGCTATCTTTATATTCCTTCCATTTATATTTAACAGTCCCTTCTTTAGTCCCTTCAAATAATGTTCTAGAACTTGATTTCCTTTTTCTTATCCCTTATCATAAATTTTTTCAAAGCCTTTTAAACAAGCCTCTTTTGTAAAGCCAATATAGGAAAATTATCCAAGCCACTCTCTTGGTTTATGTTGTATATCTCTTTTAATTATTAACAGACATCAGTTTCTTTTGAATGTCCTATATGTAACATATTTTTCATATCATTGTTGCTGCCTGTCATTTTTAAAATCACTTTCAAGTAGGTCTGAATCTTGTTCATTAAAACTTCTTCTTCAATGTCTTTTAAACACAGTCTTATCTACAGAGGCAGACACTTTTTAAAAGACACTTCTATGGTAGGTTCATTATCAAAAAATATGTCAAATGTTAAAATATATTGCTTCATTCTGTATTTATAAGTTGAATTTAAGTGTTCTTTTTAAATTTGTAACCTTTAGTTCCCTCTAGTGTCTAGTTTTTAAAATCTTACACCATTTTTTAAGAATTCAAAAGAAGAACATTTTCCTACTGAAAATATAATTATTTTCAAAATCTTATTTTAAATTTATCTGGACCCAATTCATTAGCTGTTTATTCCAAATTTTTGTTTAAGGCTTTAAACTTGCATTTAAAACATTTTTTTCCTAATGACAGAAGGAAACTCAAGCTGTGCTATAAAACTCATCAAACATAGTCTAGTGCTATAAAACATATTGACTAAAAGCAATTTCCAAAAATAATTAGAAAAGAGGCATGTGAACCTATTTTTTTAAAAGGTATTTGAAGGTACTTTGCCCATTTGAGCAAGATGATTGCTCTCTCATCACCCAGAGCATTAAATCTATTGCAGATTTTTGTCCCGCAGTCTCCTCATGAGGAACAATTGTCTGCAGCACTTGTGGGCAATCTCAAGTCCTCTCCTTATCCACAGGGGAATTTTGAAGAGCCATTCTACTTGCCAGCTTTTCATTCCTCTGTGGTCATTGGCTCCACCTTTAGAAGAGCAGACTTCTTTTGACATTTCTTCCCAAAGTCCAAAATTTTCACCTTTCTCTTTTTGGAGAGTGCGACTCCAAACATGATGGAGGTTTTTCAGACTCATTATTTGTGTATGACTAATCCAAATGAATGTACATTTTTGTGCTCCATCACTAGAGATTTTCAAGAAGAGGTTGGACAGCCATTTGTTCAGAATGGTCTCCTGCCAAGGGACTAGAAGGCCTATTATGTTTTTTATATACCAGTCACACATTTTTGTATTCAATCCACATTTCTTAATCACCCATTCATTCTTGACCTTATCTGTTTCATCATACATACTTCTGAGATAATCTACTCCCATAGATTCAACTCACTTTTATGTTTTACTCGATGTACCCAACTCTCATTTTCATGTTCCAAAGTGGGCAGAAATATACACTTCTTTCACCAAACATTCTTCTAAAGTTTCTGGGACCATTTCCAAGTTATATGGGTGACTGGTGTTGTTACAAAATGGGTTGTAATTTAAGAAAACTGGTCATAATTTGAGCCTCAATTAGAATGGGAAGCTAGATCTTGAGCCTCATTATAGATAAAAACTATGAAATAATAACCTCAAGTAAATACTTGTACACTATTCCAGGAAGTGCTGTAACAGGCCTATTAAACTATTCAATAAAAGATCAGGAAGAGCATTATTGGACAATGTTTGACACCTATTGTTTATACTGTGCATAGGAAATAAACAGGATGAGTCTGAACTCTTAATAAATATACATTAAGTTTATTATAATTATACAAGTATAATTTTAAAAATATAACAGTGGCCTGGTTATAGCTAAGGTAATTTCCATGACCGGAATACTGCAATTCAAGGATACAATTTGCTCAAAGGGAAATTTTAAAGGCAGAATTTGTAATGTTAAACAAAAGCATATCTGCATAGTAACAATTCAAATGAATGGAATCAGTAATATTGTAGAACAGGAGTCTCCAACCCCCAATCCCTGGACTGGCACAAATCCGCAACATGCTAGCACCTGGCCCACGTAAACAAGGAAAGCCCCAATCCTGTGATGCAAGCAGCACATAAAATCACACACCCTCTGGTCTGGGAAAAACCTTTCTCCATGGAACCAGTCTTTGGTGCCAAAAGGTTGCGGCCCACTACTGTAAACTATATATTTCAATTAAAATAAGTGGAAAAAAGAATAAAGCCAAACTGTTTTGGTTTATTATACAGGTAGTCCTTGAGATCTGACTGTAATGGAGCCTGCTCATTATTGTCACGTTGCAGCAGTCGTTAGGCGAAACATATTGCTTAACAATGTCCCATTCCTGCTCTCCCCAGTGAAACATAAAATGAATCTATGGGTCTTTAAGGGGAGTGTGAGGTGCCTCTTGGATGGGGGAGGCTATTGAAGGCCTAGTACAGGCCCAGTTGCCCTGGCTATCCCAAAGCCTCCCCCACCCTCAAGATGCCCTGTGCTCCACTTCCTAAGCTTTGAGTCCCGAAAGGTCTTTTCCCACTCCCATCAGGTCCTGCCAGGGCTTAAGTTTGATTCTCAGCCCATTAAGGCAGAACATCCTTCTCAGAACTTACATTTTGAAGAGTTCTAAGGCTCTCTAGAGTGCTAGGGTGACTTTATTCTTTGCATGCCACCTTTTTGTCCTTCCCACAAAATGGCGTCTGTGTTCCAGTCACTACAGCATAGCCTGGGGACAAATGGCTTCCCTTCTTTCCATAACATGAGATCTGGAGAGCTTCAGAAGGTAAGTGTGGGGTGTGATGAGTGTGTGGGGAGAAGGCCCAAATTCTGCAAGCTTCTGATGTAGTGGGGTGGGGGCAGAGAGGCAGGAGGGTGCTGCAGCAACCATGTGGTGGGTCGTAAGGGCAAACAACTGCACGTGTGCTGCAGCCATCATAATTTTGAAATGGGCTCATAAGTAGCTTGTGGGGATAGCTTCTGTCATAATTTTGAATGTTAAATAACCTGTACTATTATTTGCCTAGCCAAAAAACAAAAAAGGATATTTCCAGTATGAAAATGCAGTTCTTCAGTAAGTGATAAAGCCAAACTTTATTCTGACATCTGCTGTGAGACAACCTTGCCAAGAACAGAGCTTCTAGGAAATTTCTAACTTGACTTTTTGACAACTTTTTCCTTCGGAGAATGAACCACACAAATGTACACAAACACAAAACAGCTGCTCTTGCTATTAACCAATATGGAGGATGTAGTTGAGAATATTAAAGCACAGGGACAAAAATTGGGAGAAGTAATTGTGTAAGGTTAAATGTCAAGAGGTAAGCAAAATCTACACACCACTGAAAAGAAACCATCAAAAAGCTGAAAAGGAAACAAAAAGACCAAAATATCTCCCTACCAATGATCAACACCCAGATGAGTAGAGATCAACACTAGACGAACAATCAAGAAACAAGCAATATCCCAAACAAGGAACTACCAAACAAGCTAACAGTAAACAGCCCAATCAAGGAATCACCAAGATTACTCCCAACACTAGTAAGCCGCTAATATATAAAATAAAAGCAAGCCCCACTCCCTACTAGCAGTAATGATATCACCTAGTTAGGTAATAAGAACCAAAGATCCCACAATTCAATCCTGACCTACAAATATTCCCTTCTATTGATATTGAATAGTCACAAGATTCAGTCCAGTCTTATATACATGAAATATCTTGATTAATATTTTATTAATACTGTGAAAGAGATAAAGCGAATGCTTACCGAATTTGTAGATGGCAGAAAACAATGGAATAGTAATAATAGGACAATTCAAAATAATTTTAATAGGTTAAATAGTGAAGTGACAATCAGAAGGCAATGATTGGTGGGAGGTTGCAAGATAGTGCCTTTATATCAAGTTCCCTCAAATTTATTTTTGAGGGAGGGAGTTCAATGGAAAAAATATTAATACAAAGCAGCACCTTTCTAGAATCATACATGAAGCCTGAAGCCTAAAAATAAAATAAAACTTGCTTTTCTTTCACAGCGGTGTTATCATGCTTGGAAGGAATAAAATTCTTATGCAAGCTCCTGACCATCTGTCCTAACCACTCTGCAGTGAATTACAACTGAGGTGAAACGAGGGTTTGATTCTTGACATGGCATACCTTGAAAGGCTCAAAGTTTCGCTGCTCTGTAATCAGAGAGGCACTGAACTCTGTGATCATGTAGATGGTAGCAGATCCTTAGGTAAGCCAACTGCGACTAGATGTACAAATGGCAAATCTTCACAATGCTGTGCAAAACTAACAAAGCAACTGGACAAGGTTTGTCTCATTCAAGAGTATTTCAACAGACTGCAGGCCAACCAATACTCCTTCAATTTCCTGGAAGTTTGCCAGATAAGTTTGAAGGAGCGCAGGATCAATGTCTAAGCTTCACTTTTCCACGTGAATTATTTATGATGAGTCAGTCAGCAAGATTTTCTACAAATCATTCCAGATAACTTTCAAGGTCACTGAAAAGAACAGTAGTCTCTAGTGGGCTATGCCCTGCATCAAAGGCAACGATCCATTGATGATAATTACTAAAATGTCTTGCAAATGTTGAATTGCATATGACAACCAGACAACAAATTAATAATTTGCAAATTTAAAC